ATTGCAACAAGTCTTTTTGATAACGAGCTTTCCACGTTTTTCTATAAGGGAATCTACTATGTGCTTCTCTTGGTTGTGGCGCGATGCAGTGCGGGCCACACGGCCTTTCGCCCGTGCTCTGCGGGGCTGCATCCAGTCCTAGCCGGTTATGTTGTGAAATTCGCAGCACGCTCAAAAATACAGTCGGGTTTTTTGGGTGAGTGCACATGATCGGGCTGAGAGAGAGTACATCTTTCTGCCTCAGGAGTCAGGTGAATGAGTGTCAACTTGACCGTTTAACGTCAGGGTAAATAAGGATTTCCCTCCTCAGAGCTTCTCATCTGGCCACACAAAAGGCCTCCCCATTGGGATTATCTTGTCATTTGTTCTCCTAACTTCTATGAAGTTGCCTTCCCTTGTGTTTTTTGTTAAATTTTGTTTAAATTTTTTCATGCTTTACGTTGTTACGATTTTCGGGGGTGTGGCCTACCTAGTGAAGGCTTTCTAGAGCTTAGTTGATCGCATGTCCTTCTCTTTGTCGGGAAATGGTTGAATTCCAAGCGAAACCCAGAGTCATCACTGGTGCTGTTGTAGTGTTTTTAGCTACACAGCACTTTACAAATGGTGTTTACAACTGAGGATATTAGTGTTGGTTACTGAGGGGTAAACAAAACAATCTTTCCAAAAAAAATCTGTCCTCAAATAGCAGATTTGAGTATATTTAAACATCTTTATTAGTAAGTGGTATTCTGTTCACTATATCACATTTTTCTTTTTACACCTCGATGTCATCATCACCACCATTCCGACTATTCTTGCTCTTTCTCCATCATGTAAATTGTTTACTGCTGACGCTCAGTGGAGCTCTTTGCCTTTTGTAAACAATTAGCATGATACGCTACAGTTTTTCAGCGCCGCTGAGACCTAGCGAGTCCTTGTGTTTGAACGGTTGAAGAATAGATGAGACGCTCCGGGTCAAGTCGTTTTAGTTTAACGCCGAGCCTTCGTTTGGGTCAGACGAGGGGTACTGAGAAACTGACAGAGTTTGACAAACCCTGATAACAGATGAGTCAAATGAATAAAGGCACAAATCTTTTTGTGTCCGACATCCTCATCCGAGTTGTTAGATGGGCATCTCTTCCAATTTGTCAGCACCATGATAGTGGATGTGTGTTTTTGTTTTGTTTTTTCAAATTTCTTACCACACTTCAAGCCTCTGACTGCTCCTCGCTACATTTATTGTTTAGGTACACAGCTCACCTATACATATGAGTATGTATACAAACATTAATATACTAAAGCACTATTAATGTGCCACCTCTTATTTTACTCGCGCAGCATTTATATTAAATGATCTCTACTTAGAATCAGCAATTTTCTTTTATTTTTTTCTTGATTTATTCTGTCCACTGGTTGCCAACACAGACTTTATCCTTTCCCAGATGAAGGACTTCTGTGCGCATTGATGTGTGTTCACTTAATCTTTTGTGTTCAAACAAAGATGTTCTTTATAGACTATGCTTCCGAAGAAGACAAAATTCTGTAACTTTGGAAAATTTATGGAGACGTTTTGTGTGTGCTAGATTGTATTGTAGAAAATGTACCCTAAGTTTTTTTTTTTCCCCTCAAAGTGTGCTGTACTGGGTGATAGTGTTGAGGTATTAGAAAAATTGTTGGGGGTTTTTTCCCACCCCTGCCCCCAAGAGGATTATTCAGGAAGTATCTGATGAAAGGTTGGCCTTAAATTCTCTTGCAGTGCTCCTTTACCACGTCTGCTTTAGGAGCATGAGGTGATCTCAAAAATAGTGATTAACACTGAATTGGCATGACTTAAGAGTCATACACACGGACTCTAGTAGATTCTCCCCCCCCCCTCCCCCCTTTTTGGAAAATGTCATACAAAACTGCAGTAATGCGCATCTCTCATGATTTGAAGCAAAACATGTATTTTTTATTATTTTTAAGGAAATGTTGTTGACCTAGCTGGGTTTATAGTTTCTTTTTTTCTTTCTCTTTTTTGTTTTTGTTTTTGTTTGTTTCTGCAATAGTTGAGTGAATTTGCTGACCTGCAAGTCTTACAGTCTTTAATGCATCATCTGACCTGATGTGTAGTCAACAGCTATAAGAGTATCTGAGTGACATTCACACAATAGCTTTGTTCTTCTTTGATAACTATTTACAGTAATTGGCCTACCAGCTTAAATCTGCAGTTATAATTCCATGAATTGGCAACATTTAATGGTGTTTATTCAAGTCATGTTGTTTCTCACTTTCTCTAAGTGCAAGTCAACCAAAACTATTACAATGCTGATTCTACCTGATGGGTCCCTGCAGGTCTGAATGAGCCTAAAACGCCTTTAGCTTAGCAGAACTGACATACAATGACGTATGGCGTGGTTTACTATATAGTAAATAGCAAAGATGTTCATTTCAATCTCCTGTGTGTTTTTGTTTCTGAGTGGAACTGCTGCCTCTACCCCTCATTTACATAACCAGTTAACCCCTCCACTCCCGACCTTGACCACTGAACTCTGTTACTGCTGTTTGAGGCTCACATTTTATTCCCTGACTTTTGGGGGAAATTCGCAAATGGCTATTTTATATGATTACTCCCTTGTAAAATATCTCTTAAATTAAGGTACAGGTTTGATTTCAGCAAGAAAAAAGAAGTTTTTATATGTATATTATACTCCATTAAGGAATGTCTAGAATTATCTTCCTCCAATGTGGATGTAGCCATTATTACGCCATTTTATGACTTTGTAAGAGAATTCACTGTGTGAAAATTGGTTTGCATTTTTGTATAATACAATCTGCTTTTTTTTTCGTTTGATACGAGAGGGAGGTCAAACTGGAAGTTTGAAGAGAGAAAAAATGAACCTGTGAAATTGAGAAAACAAAGTGTAACTTATGTACAACAGTGATTCTAAGCTGAGGGGGAAAGATTAAATGATATTGCTAACTCAGAATGTTTGTGTCATTGTTTTTAGTTCCACTAGTTAAAGAGTAATTTTAGCTGTGGTTGAACATGTCTTTTTCTTCCTGAACCCAGCTGCTTTCTGCAGTGACCTTTACTCTCTGTAACATGGGCACCAATACAACTACAGTTGAAAATCAGCTTTAAGATATTCTTGGTACAACACATGTATTGTCCATTTTGGACAACTCTGCTAAATAAACAATGCAAAGTGAGTTTAAGATGTGGTCAGTACACCTTGATCAATGTTGGGTGTGGCCAGATGTGCGAGAGAAGCAACTTCTTTTTATCTGGTGTTGAGCAATTATTTAGTAACTTATGTACATTTATATCACATCAGCATGAACTGAACACATACCAAGTTCAGTTTTGAACAACCTAATATGTTAACCATTTATTTTTTTCTGTCAATGGCAGCATTCTCAACTAAGTACCAAGCACTGACAAACAAACATTTAAAAAAATGTGAGGTTCATTCTTAACCTCGGAAACAGCAGCTGACAAAACAATCACAACTCAAGGTCCACTTACTCAATTGTTCTGGAGCTATTGACTGTATCAAACTATCTTCTTCATCAGATGGTGGTTGCTCAGTTTTACAGTGAGGAACTGTAGATGTACACAGAGTCCATGATTGTGCGCATACCTTGGATTTCTTGTCCATGTTTGCTCAGCGTTTTTTTGGCCTTACTCTGCGTGATATGGTTAAAAGCTCCAGAAAAGTTGAGTGATGGTGAGTTTTTAATTTGATCAAATCATCAGGTTGTTTGCTGTGTCCTACAAAACGAACATTTATGGCAGTGTGTGGATACCAAGCACGTAACCTGGACCTGGGAGCAAAGTGAAAATTATATATATTTTAGTTTCCTACACTGACAGATTTAATTTGGCAAAATCAAAAAGATGCCTTTAGCCCACAATGGCTGCATTCAAAGTTTTATGTTGCAACCATCTTGTGGAGCTCTGTGTGACATTGTTGCAGCTTCAGAATATGCAACAATATGTGGTCTTTGCAGCTTCTATAATGAAAATGTTCATGCCTACCACTGAACAGACTCACCACCTGGATGATGATGCCAGATGTCTTATGAATTTCCACCCATTCCACGCGTTACTTAACAGAGTACAGTAGTAGTAGTAAAGACTATACAAAGCTCAGAACTTGAGTGACAGGATTTCAAGAAGCACTGTGGGGGCCTTTTTTCCTTTTATTAGACAGCACAGCTTAGAGATGGACAGGAGAGGGGGAGAGAGAGAGGGGGGATGACATGCAGCAAAGGCCACAGGTTGGATTTTTCCCAAACTCCCAAACCTGCTGATCCGGTTCTATTTTACATACTGTATGTATTAGATGTGTGAGAACTGCCTTGGATGAAAACCCAAGTTAAAACCACCTTTTACAACTTTGCTATTCCCCTTTGCCTTTGATGGATTGTTTTTTCTACTGCACTTTTACTTCTATTTATTTTATTACTATTTATTTATTGCATTTGGGCAATTTACACCTTATTACTGCATTGTCAATGGTCAATGTTTTTAAATGCCATTCAAATGCTTTTCTTTGTCCAAGTAAAGCCTTGCCTTGCCTTAGGGTGACACCCTCTTCACACATCATACTGGTCATACTGGCTACTGGTCATCTATTTACATTCTCATTTGGAGAGACGAATACTGTTGCTTTTTGTATACAGTAGGGCTCAGTTTACTCTTTACTAGAGCAGAACACAAACTGGACCGGATCTGGATGCAAACCTCTCTCGCTTTGGTGCTGGAAAAAAACAGCATGGTGACCTTTACATCAGCCCTGGCATAAAGAAGTGAATGCCAACACACACCTAAACTCACAAACACTGTACTGTACATGTACTCTTTTACTAAAGGACTGTAATAGAGTTTGTCATGGTATTTTCATTTTCCAGCCCTGCCCAGAAAGACACACACATCTTTTTTTTTCACAGAATTGTTTAATTTTCTTTTAAAATAAAAGTGAGGAACTACATATGCTCTTTGTTAAAGCTTCCAGAACAATGCAGTGCCCCTCATATGATAACTTCATAAAAGAGTTATTTCTGCAGAAAATATGCCTTGTGTTATTAGTTCTTCAGCTAATGACAAAACTAATTCCAGGACAAACACTGAGTTTTCTAACATTTCGTTACTCCACATTTGTTGGATCCCAGGACACATGTCTCCCATCATGCAACTTGTTTATAGCCTCCATGTCTTCCTCCTCCAGCTGGAATCCGAACACCTAAAAGAGCGTGAAGAGAAGGAATAAAGGGGAGAGGTGGTGTTAAAATAATCGGTACAGCATTGACTGATAATTTCAGTTTCAGAACTGTATTAATGTATTTTTTTTATTTATTTACAACTTACCTGACAATTTTCTAAAACACGCTCCTTTTGGTTGACTTTGGTATTGTAATGGCTCCATTCTAAGATGAATACAAGAATTAATAACAATGGAAACATAAGTTTGACTAACTTTTTTTTAAATGGTGAGTACTTGGCAAGTTGGCCCTGACTAAGGCGCACGTTGCTTTTATTTTACAAAAATAAAATTAATTATTTATATAATATATAAAGTTATATGATATTCATAATAATAAGTGGGAAAACACTACAACAACATCCAAACCTGACTATATATGGCAAATATTAGTCCGATTCTGGAATAAACTGATACTGGTTCTCATTTTCATTTATATCACCTGAATACTCCAGCGGATGCAGATCTGAGAAGGTGTACATTCGTACTTCTGTGCCAGCTGGACAATAGTGGGGTTACTTAGGGCTTGACCCTTGGCCAGAGGGCAGTACCCCTGAAACGCAATACCCTCCTCACGGCAGTACTCGATCAGCTTATTGGGCTGCTGGAATGGATGGTACTCCACCTGTGATGGAATAACTATTAGATTATGTACTGTAACAATGCTTGTAATGTTCTAGTAGTTGTGACCCAAATTCTCTCATAACCATGTCTCTCCGCCTTCAGATAAAGATCATGACTCGCTGTGGACATTTTTGTTCAGAGAGAAATATTTTGTGTAATACTTACTTGATTAACATGTGGCACCACAGTACAGTCCTGCTTCAACTGCTCCAGGTGGTGAATCATAAAGTTGCTAACCCCAATAGTACGACACAAGCCTGTAGGAACAGAGTGAGAGAAAGGTGTTATGAAAAGAGAATGAAATGTGTTTTACATGCAGTATGTTGATGTGTGACCTAGTAGTTACACAGGTTGATATGACCAGTGTATCCCAATACAATTAAAAAAAATTCACCAACCCTGGTTAATAAATGATCTGCTAATCTGTTATTCAGTTGTATTTCATTGTATATTTACCCTCTTCATGAAGTTCCTCCAAAGCTCTCCAGGCCTCAGCTCTCAGTTCTCTGTTGCAGCGACCAGGTGGCATCGAGCCAGGCCAGTGCAACATGTACATGTCTGGGCGGGAGCAGACAATAAACAAACAGACAAGAAAATATCCCTCACATGGTAGTTTTTTGCATATAAAAAAGGGATGCTTCTGTCCTTACCAAGATATTCCACCCCCATCTGGGAGCAGGATTTCTCAAAGGCCTTCTTGGCAGTTTCACATCCATAGTCCTCTGGCCAGAGTTTATTAGTGAGCCACAGGTCACTTCGGGGTACCCCGCTGTCTCTGATAACTTCAGCCAGCTGTACCTCAAAGCCATTATACTTTGATGTGTCAATGAGGCGTATGCCACAATCACAGACTGCATACAAAACAGTATCTTGAGAGAATCCTCCAACTTGGGATGTGCCTTAAAGCGAGGAAGCAAAATGTGGACCATTTTATGTCACAGCTACTATACAAAGTAAAATACGTTTTTTTTAACGATTTTACTGTACTGTATAGTATTGTTGTACATATATTCCAAACATCAAAATAAAATCATACCAACCTATTCCAAGTATTGGCATTTGCATCCCATTTGAAAGTTTCACTGTGGGACAAGTCCAGCTCTGTGCAGAAGACATGATCTTTTGGAAGACAGTATCAATGTGACCTAACTGAGAGCAAAAAAGACCTGAGTTTAGTTTCACCTGAAGTGATTTTGCCAGGCACTTCTTCCTCACACCTTAAGAAAACATAATTATGCAATTTGATGAGCGCCAACTGACTTTGAGTGCTTTGAGCATATAGCCTCTGGACAGTCAGACCCAGAACAGAGAACTCACATGGGGCATGGGGGAGTAAGGTTGATCCACTGAGCACGTTTTTCTGTCTTTTAAGAGGATTCTACTCCTTGTTGCAAGTGGTATCTTTTTTTTAAAGACTTCAAATGAACAATCGTGCTGAGTTGCAAACAAAGAAAATCAGAAGACACTCTTCTTGTGCAGTTGCTTTTGTATTTTTAAAGTGAAGCCATTTTTTAAAGCTTGCAGTGGCTGAAAACCATCATCATAAAAAAGCTTACACAATGATTCACAAAACATGAGAATAAAAGAAAGATAACAGATGAGTAACCATACAAAACAGTAGTTACAATAATAATAATTATAGTTACAAAATGAGAACAAAAGAAAATACACAACACCGAAGTTACAAATCAGCCATCAAAAAAATGCTTTCCTGTAAAGATATGTTTTATGCAATGATTTAAAAGAGGTAATGTACTGGCAAGCCTGATCTCCTCAGGCAGACAGTTCCTAGGGGACATGATGGCAAAAGCTTGATCATTCTTAGTCACCAGCCTTGACATAAGGAGCACTGGTGAGGAAAGGCTTGAGAATCGTGAACTTAGTCCAAAGCTCAATGAAGTGATATGGGACCTATGATTGGTATTAGTTAAAATTTGAGCAGAATTCTGAGCAACTGAAGATTCTCTACTAAGGCATGTAAACAGTGCATTTTAATAGTCTAGGTGCAAAAAACAAAAAAAAAACAAAAAAAAAACAAAAAAAACACCTTCTTAGTCAAGAGATAACTGATGAGGATGAAAAGCTCTTATGAAAGTCATTTTTGACCTTCCCATCCCAAAACAGTCTTTACTATCTTTACCCACCGGGCCCATCCAAAAGAGAAGAAATTATAATACTGAACATAACATACATGTAATCACGCATATCTTTCCAACACCTATAGATACAGGCATGCACCCAAACATTTTAATGTAAAAGAATAGGTACGTTTTAAGTCCCCTGCCTATTTTGTAGAGATGCACCGATCCACTTTTTATTCCGATCCGATTCTGGAATTTGCATATCTGCCGGTAGTAATATTGGATTGGAACGGTCCCAAATCTACCGTTTACTCTCATTTTATGCAAATCTCTGGTAAAGCCTTTAAGATTAAGATTTAGGAAATACTGAAAAATCTGCAAAAACATTCATAACCTTTGTCAACATCTTTTCTGTCACATATGCTGGTAATATTAAGTTGTGTTTGCATTATAAAAATATAGCTTTCTATAAAGTAAGGCACAAAGTAAGGAGACGAATAAGCTTCACACCATAGTCTCCTTCCAGGCAAACGGTGGCGCACAAAGTGTAATGAACAAACACAAAATTAAAATCGTTTTACTTCTTCCGCTAACGGTTACTGACAAAACTAGTCATTATTCTACATTTGTTGGATCCCAAGTCACGTGTCTCTCATCATGCAGTCCACTCAAAGTGGCCATGTCTGACTCCTCCAGCTGGAAACCAAACACCTATGTGTGAGGGAGCAGAGGTAGAGGAAGAAATTATCAATGGGTGTCACACCCATTCGTTATTTAATTATTTTTTAATAATTAGGCATTATATAAAATTACAGTATCCTGCTTGTTGGTCCATCACAATAAAATGAATTTGTACTTTTCTTGACTTTTAACTGTTTTTATGAAGGTTAATGTGCAATGCATTGCCAACTCACTTGACAATTTTCTTGTATCCTCTTCCTTTTCACTGATTTTGGTATCGTGACAACTCCATTCTAAAGGAAAAGTAGAGAAATCACAACATTGTAGGTAAATGAAGTATATATATACTGTACATAGAGAGTGTGGCATGTCTGAACAATGTGACAACCTGAATACTCCAGCGGATGCAGATCTGAGCAGGTGTGCGTCTGTACTTTTCTGCTATCTGGAGAATGGTTGGCTCGCTGAAGACTTGACCCTTGGCCAAGGGACTGTACCCTTCAAACACAATTCCCTCCCGATGACAGTAATCTTTCAGGTGATTGGACTGCTGAAAAGGATGGTACTCCATCTGTTGAGTAATAGCAAGATGCATTATAAGCAAGTTACTGTACGTAGATTTGACTTGTATACTCATAATTAATCTCCGATCATTTTGGTAAGAACATCTATCATTATATTATTGAATCATTACAGTTCCTATCTGTTTTGTTAGCAGTTTATGGGGGATGGCAGACTAATGCTAGAGTAGCACTATATCAATTTTATGGAAGAAAACGACTTACTACTACTGCACGTATGTATACCGGGAACCTCATGAGGGAGCCCACCACTAAAAGTCTTCTTTTTTTATATCATCTCTGAAACAAGCTTATCCTTTCCCAAATCTGACCTAAATGCCTCTGATTTAATCTAACTGAGCGTTTTCTGTAAACAAAAAAAAACTACCTGATTCACATGTGGCACTACACTGCAGTCTTCCTTTAACTGTTCCAGGTGGTGGACCAGAAAGTTGCTCACTCCAATAGCACGGCACACCCCTATAGTGAAAAATCCCACTCTGTCACTATCACATCATGACACTCGCTCTAGTCACTTCCTGTGTGTTTTCCAACTGTTTTCTACCTTCTTTATAAAGTTCCTCCAAAGCTCTCCAGGTCTCAGCTCTCATCTCCCTGTTGGAGCTACCAGGTTGCAATGGCTCTGGCCAGTGCACCAGGTACAGATCTGAAAAAAGGTGGGCAGGAGATGATTTGATGAAAGACAACCAACTGCATACAATGTCAGGGACAGAGGACTGTCACTGCAGTAACGAAGCAAAGAACATCCATTATTAGAGAAAACGATGACAACACACATGTCTTTATCAATCATAACACATACCAAAATAGTCCACCCCCATCTGTGAGCAGGATTCAAGGCAGGCCTTCTTTGCGGCTTTGTACCCGTAGTCCCCTCGCCACAGTTTATTGGTCAGCCACAGATCACTTCGTGGTATCCCACTCTCTCTGATAGCTTTACCCAGTTTCTCCTCGCAGCCGTAGCGCTTTGCTGTGTCAATGTGACGCACGCCACATTCAGTGAGTGCATACACAACGGAATCATGAGAGTATCCGCCAAAATGTGATGTGCCTGGTATAGACATAGAATATGAGACAAAACATTCATTCAAAATTCAAAAATATCAAAACTGCTCTTTTTTATGTGTTGAAACCAGAATTTACACAAATTCTGAATTTAATTTGTATGTGTGAGTGTTAATTATATAATTATATAGTCAACTTTTCCCTTATAATTCCCTCCCCAGAAAAAAAACTAACATTTGATGTAAAATAAATAAAATGCCATGCATACCAGATTAAAAAGAACTGTAAAAACACCACACAGTGTGTTTAGAGTTTGCATTAGTGTAATGAGGATTTACCAAACATACGCACCTAATCCAAATATTGGAATCTGCAGACCATTGGAGAGTGGGACTGTTGGACTCAGCACTGGTGCTAAAGACATCTGGGCAGCGATGTGCAACCTGTAAAACAAGTCTTAATACATTCTTACTTTTAACTTTCTTCTCTTCTTGCTCTAGGCCTGGGTTAAAGAACATACTGTCAATGGTCCACACATCTGCCATACTTAACGACTACCCACAAGTTTACAAATGACTTACTAATGTTAATAGTATACACCCGTTACACACACTTCAGTCACTAACGTACCTGAGAGTTGCAGTAGACTTTCCTTTGCAGGTTTTGTTTTTGTGTGTTTGTGTGTGTGTTTTTTGTCTTCTCTCCAACTCAACAGCATTAGCATCTCTGGGACAGGAAGAGATACGCCCCCAACGGAAAATCAAATTATATTATATTATGTTCAACAAAGATGGCGTCACTTTCCAAAGTGTCCGAAATACGCTCAAGTGAGTTAAAACTGACGTACGACACTGTAACGTAGGAAATGCAAACATAAAGACTCAAATTAATTGCATTTTCAAGTAGTTGGCAATTTGAGGGTTTACCAACAACTCAGCGGCTTATTTTTTTTAAACTGTGGCCTTCACTCATATTACGTTGCGGCTCATGTTAGCTTGTCAGAGCTCTCTGCTTTTTAGGCTCTTTGGTTAGAGTCAGCCAACATGGCGACCATGTAGAGCACACGGCTTGTTTGCATTGCCAACAAAATGAGGTGAGTTCTGAGTGACCGAAAAGAAATGAAACATCACTTTTACTGTTCTAAATGCAATGAAGTAGCTCTATCATGAGGTAGTTCGGTAAAGTCAAGCTATGGCGTTATGTTTATTTAAAAAAATAACACCGAATTTAAGCATAAAATACCGTTAATGGTTTTATACAAGTTAGTTTTCGTGGAAGCTAACGTTTAATTTGATTTGCTTACAGAACAAATTCAGAAACGGGACTTGAGCTGTTGTTTTTGGCCATCTCCAGCAAACAGCTCCACTTTTCACCTTACTGGGGACACTATAGTGTTAATGTGCACCAGGCCTGGGCCATTTAGTTACTTTCTAAAAGAGCCAGGGTGTTCAGACAGTCCTTAAAATGAATCCGGTGAAAGTGTTAACACAAAAAATAAGTGGAAACTTATTTTCTAATTATTTGAGTGTAAAGCCATGCACCTCTGTCTCATAGCATTGTTTGATCTAGCTGGTGTTCTGAGGTAGCATCACTTGGAGGGATGAAACGTGGAGTATATTATAATAAAGTCCATCATCTGTGTATCTTGTGCAGGGTCCCCCGCTGCTGCATGGGGCTCAGGCGAACCTATTTGGTTTGGCCAATCCTGCTGCTACTGCTGGTTGGTGCAGCTTTGACAGCTCTGCTGCCCCCTGCTGAGGACCAAGGAGGCCTTGGTGTGCTGGGAGCGCTACGCCGGGGAACATCACAAAAGGAGAATCCTGCACAGGGCCACCATGGTGACAGCACCGAGGAGCAGCAGAGGTTTACCATTATCATCCAAACTTACAACCGCACAGACATTTTGCTCAAACTCCTAAACCATTACCAGGCAGTGCCTCATCTTCAGCAGATTATCATAGTGTGGAACAACGTTGGGGAGCAGACACCCCTGAAGTTGTGGAACTCTTTGGGGCCTCATCCGGTCCCTGTGGTCTTCAAGGAGCAGAGTAGCAATCGGATGCGCAACAGACTACAAGCATTCCCAGAGATTGATACTGATGGTCGGTATATCTGTAAGCTTTAATCTTGTGTGTACACCGATCAGCCGTAACATTATAACCACCTGGGCACCCTGGTGGTCATAATGTGATGCATCCCCATACGTAACAAACTGTGATACACTGTGTTCTGACCACTGCAGACCGGGAACACCCCACAAGAGCTGCAGTTATGGAGATGCTCTGATCCAGTCATCTAGCCATCACATGTGGCCCTTGTCAAAGTCACTTCAAATCCTCACGCTGCCCATTTTTCCTGCTTCTAACACATCAACTTTGAGTACAAAATATTCACTTGCTGCCTGATATATCCCACCCACTGACAGGAGCCATGACGACAAGATAATCAGTGTTATTCACTTCACCTGTCACTGGTTATAACATTATGGCTGATCGGTGTGTATACCTGTTTTTTCTCAGTGGCATTTGCTTGACCTTTGCTTTGATCCCCAGCTGTGCTGATGCTGGATGATGACACCCTGGTCAGTGTTCCTGACATCAGTTTTGCTTTCTCTGTCTGGAAGGTAATGCGTTCAAGGACAACGTAGACGAGAGTGGTTAACATTCTGCATCTAAATTACATTTTGGTTTGACTTGATAATTATGTAAATAAAAAGAAATCGATATTATATGGTACTTTTACCGCACCATGTGATTGACATAACTTGTTTGGTTCCACAGCAATTTCCAGACCAGATTGTTGGGTTCGTTCCACGGAAACATGTCTCAACACCAGGAGGAGTGTACAGTTATGGCAGCTTTGAATTGCAGGACCCAGAAACAGCTGGAGGTGACAAGTAAGTACAACTCCACATATACTGACCACAGTGTGGTTTGGTGTTACTATGATGAGAGACTGTTTTTAATTCTTATATCCTGATCCGCTCACGGCAGATACTCCATGGTGTTAATTGGTGCCGCCTTCTTCCACCGTCGCTACCTGCAGCTCTTCCAGGACCAACCTCAAGCAGTGCACGAGCTGGTGGATGAAACACAGAATTGTGACGACATCGCCACGAACTTTGCCGTAGCGCTGTATTTGAGGAAACACTCAAAGTCTACAGGCGGCATTACCAAACCCTCTGGGATCTTTGTCAAACCTGTGGACCTCCGCAACCTGGAAAAGGAGGCCAGCAGTGGGTACCAAGGTATGTGGCATCGTCCTGAACACCTGCTTCAGAGATCCTACTGTCTGAACAAGCTGACACAGATCTATGGCCTAATGCCACTCTGCTTCTCCAACCTGATGGTCTCGCAGTTTGGCTTCCCCAGCTATGCCAACCACAAGAGCAGAGGCTGAGGAACTGCCACGTCGCTGACTGTTTCGGACTAAAAGAAGACGAACTCAAGTGGCAGTTTCCAGGCTCAGGATCATGGTTGATCATTGAGGGTACAGCTGATATTCCCCGGTCCATGTGATCATTCACCTACTATGTGTGTTCAGAAACAAGAATGCAGGCGAACGTTTTACAGGGTAAGACATGTAAAACCGGCATTCAGTTGTTAGACAATCAAAAATGATCGCAAAACAGTAGTAGTATGTTAACATTTTAGCAGAGGGTGAGACACGGCATAAATGGTTTTCACAAAAATATTTATGTTGTGTGCTTAGTGTTTACCTGCTCAGTGTTTTTTCTCTTCTTGTATTTTATGATACCGAGTAGTTTCACCGTGGTATTAGCAGGACTATCACGGACTTTCTTACTTTGGACAACAGCAAGGATTGTTAAATGAAACGTCCATATTTCATGTGTATACTGTTGCCAAAGCTGCCTTTCCCTCAGCATGTACAACTCTCACATTAAACTAATAGTGCAGTTACTTTATAGCCAGCAGGTGTCAGTCTTTGATCTGCTTTGACAGTTTGCCTTGTTTGTAACTGTGATTTACAGCACTGACATTTTTTTTACTACATTTTTAGTTGTTTATAGAATGTGTCACTTTCTGGTGAGCTTGCACACAGTCCCTACAGATATAAAATGCTTGTCAGAAAATACAGGCATTGTTTAGTGTTCTTCGGTCAAAAAATAATCCCCAACAAAGTGTGAATCAGAGAATATAATGGGATTATCGCAAGTATTATGTGAACTACCGTGCATGCGTGGACAATCATTTTTTAAATGTGTGCACAAATGTCAAGCTTACAGGACTGTATCATGTGATTCAGACAAATAAAGCCAACACTATTTCTCTGTCTGTCTAAATTTATGATATTTGTGCTTCAAATATTGTCACGCCAATATGGATCAAGCTCCTTCTGCAATGTTTATAGCACCTCTTAAGAATTAGTTCCCAGTGGTCATAAATTGAGGTAAATTCTTTTTTCATTGAGGACTAATAATAAAATAACTGATGACTGCTGAAACTCCAGGTTTAATAGCAAAGCAAGACCAGCCCCCAAGATGGTATATTACATTGAATTAAGCAAGTGATCATTGAATTTTATCAGCATTCTGGTTCATTTGTCCTGTTGTACAACTGCTTTCAATAATATGAACAGGGAAAAAGCTGACAAAGGCTGAAGGTTAAACATCTTCAGATTAATAAGAGGTAGGAAAGTGATGATGTTCTCATTTTGTAGCTTAAAGGTGTTACTTGTAGGGCAGCAGATGTCGTCTGTCTACGCATTCAACATCTGGACTGAAACACCAGGCGTGAAGTCTGACCTGTCAAAATTCAGGTCTCTGCATACCATTAACTCAGCTTCTGCTCATTACTAACCTTGAATAAAAAAAACTATGTTGATAAACAACAATATCCGACTCCCTCTTGGTGGATAAAAGTGTCCTTTCATATTCTGAGGTCACCCTGGACTCTCTTTCAATAAGGATCTGAAAGAACCTGCAAAGTGTCATTGTGGCCCAGGTCCATCACTACCACTGACCCCAGGCCCACCTCCTGGCCTGGATCCACCTGCACCTGGAGAACGCATGTCATGCCACATCTTCACGAGAGGCTCCCTCTTCCTCCAAATCAGTTTGTGACCATACGACACATACCATCTGTAGAACAAGATATATACAGACAGTTTAATGTACAGTCATGCCACCAAACCATATTTAAAGCCCATTAACATCCTTTTAATGATTTATGCCCCCAATAAGCTGTATAAAGCTGTAGTTCCAAACAAGTGTAAAACATCCAGTAATAACATATATTGTGAATAATGAGCAACAGTGTATTATTACAGTAACTAGTTATTTTTGGCAGTAATTATTCAATAATTTTGTGCGTCTTCATCAGTTTCATTCCGTACTGGGTTCATGTGATGACATCTACTGTACATGCATTCAAAAGACAGTAACATGTGTTTGAAAGATCCTGAAAAGGTTTATCAGCACATGGAGATGGCATGGAGTGCCTCAAATTCATATATATTTAAAAAAATGACTGGTTTTCTTTTTTAAATGGAGCCTGGTGGGCGGTCGTAGTCAGCTGTTTTAGTCTTTAGATGCTGCGTTCTCACGAAACATCTAGTAGCAGCAAATTGTGTATATATAACCTTTAACGGCATCTGATGTATTTTAGGATCCAAGGATTAAAAAAAGACTTAAAGGTCCAGTGTTTAGGATTTAGTGGCATCTAGTGGTGCAGTTGCTAACTGCACTCTCAGAACTCTTGCAAAATGTGTAAGGCCGTATCTAGACCCAGTGCTCTAGATTCCATAGAAGTAAACCCACTCCCTCTGTAGATACAAACGCTCATTCTAAGGTAACGAAAACACAACTTTTCTTATTTTCAGGGGATTATACACAAAGGAAAACATTCCTATAAACATATTCCATTTCTGCCAGTTGATCTTTCTAAATGTAACACACTGCTTCTATAAACATAAATATAAAACAATTTTGCATTATTGGCCATGGCCTATCATTTATGTGCAGTTTATGAAACCCATAAATACATCTAATAATTCTGTTCAATGTAAAAGAAACATTGGCCACTCACATTCCAAAGAGGGCTCCGCCAAGGTGAGCTGCGTGGTCAAACAGCCGCCATCCCAGTATAAGCCCTGCTGTGTCTATGGCAATGAGTGCTTTCAGAGCCTAATGACAGAACAATGACAGGAACCTGACGTTACACACTACGTAAATCGCACTAAATCAACAACGATCTCTCTACCATGCATTCAGACATGCATACTTACACATTCCCTCACACACACTGGACTTTGTCCGTTTCGTTCATGCACAGATTTACATCTCTTGCCTGCAGCGAAAACACAACACGGGAATGTCAACAACACCCTGCTAAATGTGTGGATTACCAAACTATTTTAATTCACATTACACTTCAGAGATGTGTATCTGCAGAACAAGAGACCTTTTCAAACCATAAAAAAAGCGCACACCCAAGACCTGGAGTCCAAACACACACACACACACACACACACACACACACACACATATATATATATAAAGTATACCGTGTATCACTTACGCTTCCTGCTGTGAAAGTGACCATGGGGAGGAAGAGTATGCCTAGTTTGGCTTCTGGCACTTTTGCACAGACTGCGGCCAGTACTGCCATGACGGCACCGGACTATGGATCAAACAAAAGGTGGGTCAAAAGATTACAGTCTTCTTCTTCTTTTTGTTAAGCACAATTTATTTGATTTTATTTTTTATTTTAGCACATATCTTACCGCTCCTAATGATGGATGGAGACGTCCAGTGACTGTTTTACACATGTAGCTAACCATAGTGGAAATCACACCTGAAAATACACGATATGATTTGGACATCACTTCAAAAATCAGGAAGTCATTTAGCTAAATAGCAAATATGTAATCTGTATGGTGTGTCATTTTAGTTTATACCAAGTTATTTATAACCGTGTTACTTAAAAAATTGAAACCTAAATAGATTCTGTAAGAGATTAAAAGGAATTTGGGTTTGACAGATTCAATGCCATTTAAATACTGGATTTATATTAAATTAAATGCCATCAGACCCCGGTCCTATTCTTTATTTGACTCACCGGCAGACAGGTAGACTGCAAGAAACTGCTCCTTCCCTAAGAGGGAGACAATTCCTGAGGAAAATGTCCACAGGACATACATGTTAGCCATCATGTGGATAATGGAGTAGTGGCTGAAGGAAGACAAGACCATGGGAATGCACCGTGTTTCTGGTGGGGGGAGAGAAAAATGGACATAAACATTAATAAAGGCGCTTGGAACACACAGATATTGATTTCCCTTATAGCCCTTGTGTAAGCACTTTATATTATTTATTTAATTATTTCAAACGTAGGTATAACATGGCATACTCACTGGAGGCTGGGTTGGACGTAAAGTACTTAATCATGCTTCTTTGCATAGAAGGGATCCGCCAGCAACACAGGACTACAGCATTTACTGCAATGATACCTGGAAAACAATATATAAAGAAACGCTGGATTATACTAAACACCTGAAAACATGTTGATGCTAGCCATTCAATCAGAAACAGGGACAAAATGCAACAGATATTACCAGTGACAGTCCTTTGTCCTTCTGTGAGGCTGCTCCAGAAGTCATCCACCATGGACATCAGGAGGATGAGCTGTTGCTGGAAGCCCGACAGCTGGTTCCACCAGTCATGCCAGTACGTCATGTCCTGGGACCCCTGGTAATACATAAACGGTCACATTGGTTATACATTAACAACAGTGGAGGAAGGAGCCAGCAGTTTCTATCATTAAAACCTCACCTGTAGTAATTTTTCTGCCTCCTCTTCATCTTTTGCAGACTGAACTCTGGACTTCAGTGTCTCATATTGCAGAATGGCCGCCGCACCAAAGGAGCAACCTGTAAACTAACAGGGAGTCAGACGCCAACCAATGCCA